CCCGGGTCCATCCATAACTATGGAGTATTCAATGCCAAAAATATTAATTACCATTTATTTTTATTTATATGCATAAATAAATAGTACATTTGCTTCTGGTATTATCCATGTTCAAAAACATTTACATGCAAATAAATCATGCCAAAAAAAGTCCCGTGGACATGGACTGGCTATACTTATCAGTCATTAGCTGCTCATAATAACCACAGAACCTACTGCTGAAGTATGAATCTGAGTGATGATCCAGCAATCAATGGAGTTGACTTTTTTTGAGGTTTTAGTAATACAATAAGCAAGTTACACAGCGCGGGTGATAAACCCAATGCACATGTAGGGAGCTCTGTGATATCTGGCTGCAGCGCATTGCATAGAACTCAGGATAATGTAAATGAGGGAACTTTCTGGCTGTGGCACGATGGCAATGTTTCATGGACAACATTATCAGTTTACTGTCTGATTTCACCTGTTGCCAGGAATAACTCTTTTAAAAAAATGGTTTTATTATCTTTTACCTCCAACAAAGTTTCAAATCGGCTGAATCTGTCATCTGTGGCAAGTATGTCACCAATGGTCATCTGGAAAAGAGTCAAACAAGTGTTAAAAATATCTTACATATAGCATGAAAGTTTACATTTTCATGAGGGAACAAGTAACTTCAACAACCTGCAACTTAACAAAATGATAGTAGTAGCTATTGATTGGAGGTGAGGCACAGTGAAGAATAATGGAGGCATCTCACCACTGGAGTCCTGGAGAACTACCTCCTCTAAAATCAGTATTTTTTCTATATTGATTGAACTGTAAAATATCCCATTTATGATAACATTTTGTTCTGGCATTGACGTGAGCACTGTATCTCTACGAAAACTGTTTTTGTTAGTTTTGGCCATATATTAGAGCTATCAGTGGCCATGCCAGCAACATCCAGCTTAATTAAAGTTGATTTAAAAATTGACTGAGCTGGTTGTAAAATTGATGACCAGACAGTGACTGCAGCCTCAGATTCTGTCACTGTGTATTGAAGCAGCCGTGAGTGTCAGTGGCTGCCTTACTACAGTAACTGACAGTGGAGATTGCTCCATCCATGTTATTTAGCATGGATGAATGAATCTATTAATTTTCTATTGCTAGCATTAGAACCTCTGTCAGGTTTATATTGATGTCTATGTCCCTCAGTAATAAGAAATTCAAAATTTTGCAGTTGTCACCATAAGGAGTTTAGGGAAAACCTCCAAATGGGGACCCCTGTTCCACTAAAAACTTTCTCAGATGGAATTTCCCTTCATTTCCTCTGTTGTGTCTCTGGAACAAAGGGACATAGACCGCAAAAATAACTGTCAAGACAGGGTTCCTTTAACCACTTAAAGACCAGATGTTTAGACACCCTTCATACCATTTTTTGGGAACAGATAGAGCTTTCTTTTTGGTGGTATTTTATCACCACTGGGGTTTTTATTTTTTACTATATAATGAAAAAAGCTGTTTTCCCTACGTTATGTTAAAAAAACGTTTATTCTTACCCATATTTTTGGTAAAACATAAAAGATGGGGTCACGTCGGGTAAATAGACACCAAACAAGTCAAGCTTTAAAATTGCATGCGCCTGCGAAATCGCAATAAGATACTATACCCAAAATTGGCCATAGGCACGGCTTTAAAAGCTTTTACCGCTCATCAATTTAGTGTGATCAGTGAATAATGGCCCTAAAATGATTGCCCTCACTCTGACGTTCGCAGTAATATCCATCATGTGCGGCGTAATGTGCACAATCGTCATATACGCACCCGGCGCATGTTTGCGCGTGTGTATGTGGGGCTGGGACTTTTAAAAAAAATTGTGTTTTTTAACATTCTTTTTTATGTGTGACTTAAATTTTTTTGGGGGAACTTTAATTTTTTTTCTACTTTTTTTTGTTTTTTCACTTAACTTTATTATCACACAGGGGGCTAAGAAGGGGACAAATAAAGGGACAAATAAATAAGCAGTAAGTAAGCTGCCATTTGACCTTCTACAGAAAATGATTATTGCCTGGCTATCATATTGATCAAATAACTTCAATATTCTTTGTGTCATGGACTTAGAACAAGTATAGTATGCAGGTCTTGAGTTCTGACTTTACAGTGGGAATCTGACAAACCGTAAATGGTTAAGTCTCTGTTTTAAGGCTGTCTAGTTTAAGTTTGATGGCCCCATGCTAAAGAGGAGAATCTGCATCCGCCAGAGAGCTTACACATGCCTCAGCAGAGGTTGTTCTCTCTCTTAAGATCTATACATCCTGGCGCACCAGACGGAATTTAATGTGCAGTCTCTACTTGTGAAGTTAGGGCAGCTTTACATTCTTTAATGGCGTTCATGAATTGTTACAATATTTTTATTTCTAAAGTTTGTGTTGATGTTCTTGATATCTTAAACTGATGTTACACTAGCCTTCCTCTTGCTGTAGAGTTATCACTACTGTGGCATCAGCCTAAGGATTGCAAACATATTTAGGAAAAACTCCACTGCTTATATGTGTCCACCCTCAGCAACTGAATGAGCAAGGTGTTGCTCCCTAACTGAAAAAAAATGTTGCAGAGTATTTTGGTAGTTGGCAGTATGAGAATGACATGCTCATTCAGCCGGTGAGGGAGTGACACATATAACCAAGTCATTTTATTACTGCCCTGCTGTGTCCTACATAGCAATTCAGCCGCCGGTGAGTTCTCATCAGTGACAGGTTCAGTAGTATAACATCGGCCTCAATGCGATCAGGGTAAATTCAGCATTAGGCAAGGTAGGCGTCTACCTTCTCCCTACACAATAAATAATTCAAGCTGAGATTTAGTTGATACAAACAGCAAAGTGATAAAATGTTCTGTAATTTGTGGATAGGGCCAATATATGAATGGCAAAGGTTTAGCAGGCCTATAGGCTGAAGTAACATATTTATATCAGAACAAAAATAGAACAGTACAATAACAGAGGATACCTGGCTCTGGCTTCTAATGACTTCTGTGTTGTCATATTCAATTACTTTGTTGATAACATGGATAATGCCATTGGCTGCTGGTAGGTCCAGTTTTGTAATTATGTAGGATTCTATAGGTTTGGAGGATTTAGTGAACCTCTGTGGATCAAGTGTAGCATAAACACACATTATATACTATAACGGAAAACATAAAATTACTTAATTATTTCAAAAAGACACTATTGCCAGACCATTCATTTCAAAAGAAATCTTTCCATAAGATTATACAGTATGTGCATTTTACATATGTTATGCTATATTTCACCCTCTTGGAAGTTATAACAGACCCAGCAGACCCTCAAGTGACATTCAATAGTAATCCCCTTCGCTCCTCCACTGGCTTCTATATAAAAGGTTATGTATGGAGAAGAGGGGCAGAGTAGCTGGGCCAGGACAGAGAGTAATTAGACACCTCCCAGAGGAGGCTAGGGCTATGACATGCAAGAAGGGAGGGGGCTCTGCTCGGGAATTTACTCTGCTGGAGTAGTCAAATATTCTAGCAAGTTCAAAGGCAAGTTGCAAGTGAATAAAAAGCAATGCAAGTAAGCATTTCAAATGCTTGATTGTTCTGTGCTTTTTACCTGCAATGTTTTGTTTTCTTTAGATTTACATGTAATAGATCAGCTTGGTGTAAATGTTCTTATTAATAGGTGTTAATGTTTTGAAAAACATATAGTTTGTAATTAAATTGGTGGATTGGGACAGCCATATTTGCTCATTACATATACCAATTATTTCTCCTGCTTTGGAGTGCTACAAAGTAAAGCTCTTTCTAATATCAGAGAACAAAAAACATTTCTGTGTAATATTTATCCAGCGCTAAACATTTGCTAAGGAAGAAAATGTTTCTGTGATCACCATGGTTGGTGCTCATGGTAGTGTAATGTTTGAGAATCGCTCACATTAGGTCCCAGTTAAGGACCTATGGCTGTCAGCAACTATTGCTGGTATGACATTTGTTTAATTAAAGGAGAACTATGGGGTTAAGGCTTTTCCCCATAGTTCTCCTTTGGGTAACGGGAGGACACAAACTAGTGTCCTCCCGTCACCCTAAGCTCAGTATACCGCGAGCTACTGCTCGCGGTATACTGAGACGCCGCAGCTGAAGCGGATCCTGACAATTATGTCTGGATCCGCCCAGCTGCGTGAGTGACAGCTGGCTCTGCCAGCTGGAGGGGAATCCAGCCCCTCCCCTGTCACAGCAGAGAGCTGTGACAGGATCGAGAGGTGAGCGAATGCCGGTATGTGTTCGCTCACCTCCCGATCTCCTCAGCCGACCTGTGACAGTCTCATTGTCACAGGTCGGCTAGAACTATGAGGTGAGTGAAAAACACTCACCTCATAGTTCTCCTTTAATGCTCTCTGAGCACTGATATTAAGGTGGGATATTAGTCTACATTTTGCTGTCCTAGGAGCACAACCAAAGATATTAGTCTACATCTTGCTGTCCTGAAGCACAACTAGAAGACCCACCTACAATGCCATCATTCAGTCAGGGCTTTACCCTCCAAAATATCTGCTGGAGCCCATCATAATTTCAGAGCAGTTCTGTGTCCCAACTGCAGTATTGATGTGCACCACTAGTACTACATGTCCCCCAATTTAGGCAACACTGTCACAATTTATTAAAGGTTAACCCCAGCTTAAGATCCTTCCTTGCAGCAATCTGAACACTCAAGCAGCAATTATAGTGTATTATTGGTTTGATTATTCACAGGAGCATGGCATCATTAACTCTAACTACACCCTTCAAAAATCCAAACTCCAGTGCTATGTAGACCTAGGTCGAACCCCAATCAGCAATCTTCAGAGGCACAATCACTCAGTGAGGCTGCCATCCTAGAGGCTATTGGGAAACTTCCCCAAGGTGCATGCAAAAAGAACATAAAGAAAGCGACTTCTCCTGGTGTATTAACGATTATTAACAATAATGTCAAACAAAGTGCATTAAGCTACTCACATATACCATGCGAAACAAAGCGTATACATTTCCGACCCTGGACAACCAAGCTTAGCCGGAACGACAATCAAGGGTGAGGGTCAACCACCACAGGTCTATACAGAACCAATAACAGGTGACGCATTTTGGAGGTGATCCGCCTTCTTCAGAGCTAGCTCTAAAGAAGGGGGGGGATCACTCTCGTAAAACACGTCAGCTGTTACTTTTTATCAAATGAAGGGGAACTACATTCAAAACATTAGACATGCGCGATTCGTTTCATTCCGAATCGAAATTCGGACAACATTTCTGAGATTCGGATGTATCCGAATTACAGAATTAACGAAAGCAAATGAATCCGAATTTCCGATTCCGATATTTGTTACCGGTAGTCTAGACGAAATTTCATTTGTTGGTCGAAATTTCATTGCAGCAAAGTGACATTAGAAAAAAAAATATATATACCGGTACATTTTTTTTAGTCTGCAGAAGAGGAAAAAAAAAAGCGTGGGGTTCCCCCCAAAATCCATACCAGGCCCTTTAGGTCTGGTTAGAATTTGAAGGGGGAACCCCAGCCCCTAACATTCCTACCAGACTCTTGATCCGTGGGGATCCGTGTCAAATACTACATAGCATTCGGGAGATGTCATATGAAAAGCATTATGGCACCTCGGCTCACAGACCCAAATGGCATTCAGAAACTCACGAATAGCATTGGGGAGTTCCCGAATGCTATGTAGTATTTAACAGCTGAGAGTGTCAAATGGACAGAGCAAGCCGTGACGTCACGGCTCGCTCCGCCCCTTTTGTTTACTTTCGAGCAGGAATGTCATTTTTACAGTGACTTTTCGTCGGGTACGGGCGGTCGTCGGGACTTTTTTTTTTATTTCAGCGGTTCAGTGGGCGTTGTGCAATTAGTCAAAAATGTAATCTTTGTTTTTTTTTAAATTACAGGATTTTATCAAAAGTCTGGACTTTTTAATAACTATTTTATTTAACCCTTTAATGAATGGTTAGGGGTACAAGTACCCCATACTCATTCACAAAGGGGGGGGCATCTGGGTTAGGGATGTCCCGATACCAAAGCTAGCATCGGTATCGGGACCGATACAGGGCATTTTGACAAGTACTTTGTTGTCAAAATGCCCCGATGCATAGCGCTGATTTTTTTTTCTGTACCTTCCGTGGTGCCTCACGGGGTGCCGAATGCTTTTCCTCATCTGAGGACGTCGTCGGCGCTGAGTGTTAATGTGACATTGCAAGATATCATTATTTGTCAGAATGCCAGAGGTAGCCGGCTGTTGCTCTCTATCGGGAGTTTTACGTCTCCATAAAGCTAGAGCTATTGAAGAAGTATTATAAGAACCGTTTCAAAAATGTTTGTATAAATGAGAAATTATAATAATCTGTATTTTAGAAAGCAGAATTATATTGGCAATTAGTGAGGAACAAGTAATTCATTGTGCCAGCAGTTTGCCAATCTGAGTGGAACTAGGTTTAAAATTTGCAAACCTATTATTATTAATAGTGTTAATAACAATATATATAAAAAATGAATAAAGAAGTAATAAAAATTGTGGGGCAGAATTGTGAGCAACTCCCACAAGCTGAGCACCGAGACGCGATGCAGCGATCCTGCCCAGCGCCGACTACAAGAGGCACCGCGTGAGACAACAGGGATCGGAGTGAAACTGTGAGTGAGGGAAGCTGGGACGGGGCTGTCTGTAAATCTATTGCTATAGTGTACCGGACGTGTGTAATCTATATGTAGTACATATATACAGCACACACCTCCACTACACTCCAGCAATAGAGTTACAATTCTCCACTGCTAACATGAATAGGTTAAATCATAACCATAGTACATATACAGCACATACGTCCAGCACACTGCAGTAATAGAGTTACAATTATCCCCTGCTAACATGAATAGGTTAAACCATGATCCATAGTACATAACATGTAGTTGTACTATGGATCATTTAAAGTCACCTGTCACTTGAAGAAAGTATCGGTAATTGGTATCGGCAAGTACATGAGGGGAAGTACTTGTACTTGAAAAAGTGGCAACGGGACATCCCTAATCTGGGTGCCCCCTTAATTAAAGGGGTACCCCGATTCAAATAAGCCCCCTTGCCCACAGACACCCACAACCACCGGATCAGGGATGTGGGGAAGAGGCCCTTGTCCCCATTATTATTGGGACACCCTCCCAATGCCGAGGGCACGTGGCCTGGCAAGGCGCAGGGGGGCACTCGATTGTCCTCCCGCCTTTCCTGCCCTGCCGGGCCAGTGCTCAGATCAAGTGTCTGGTAGGAATGTTAGGGGGGAATTTGGGAGGAACCTCACGCACTTCTTTTTTTTTTAAC